CTCTCTCTCTCTCTCTCTGTGTCTGCACTGTCAGCCTCGGTTGACGAAGGACCGGATCTCCACGAGTTGTGCTGGCGCGAGCACTTAGGGATAGATCCAGGCTGCAAACCTAAGGCTGCGGTGAACTTGCGTGCCAGGTTCGCCGACACTTCTGAAGGTGGCAGCCGAGGCCTCAAGGCAGCCGAGAGTGCTTTTGCAGGGCTGTAACGAATGTCTTCGCTCCCCACATGCTGGAAGCGACAGGCGGCGAGCGAAAGCAAAGCTTTGAGAGCAACAGCTAAGCAGCACTCGCAACGCAAAAGATAGCAAAAGCTCTATGCAACAAATGGGATCGAGCGTCAGCGCAAGAGAGAGCAAAAGTTCCGTGCAAAACTTAGCAGACTTAGCACATGCAAAACTGTTGCAAATGCAAAGTCTGCAAACGCAACAACACGTTTTTCTGGTGGCTGCGACGGCACCGGATTAGGGTCTGCGAAACCAACTACGTTCTGTCGCTCCATGCAATGGGCCTCCTCCGCCAGCTTCCGGCTTGTCAGTGCCTGCTTGTTCTACGAGGAGTCCTTATGAATTGCAAGCGTTGTTTGCAGACTTTGCCAAAGATCTGGACAGTTTGTTTCCAAGAGATGGGGGCAGGCAACACTTGAAGCCACCAAATGCATACCAATGCCAAAATAATGTTGCAGCCGAGTCTCGAAAACTGCTTTAAGTTGATTGAAAACCCAAAATCTTGAAGCAAAGTCGGGAAGACTGCAGTTCACCTAAAGCCTCCCAATTGGATGCACGCCATTTTTTGAAGCCAAGCTCCAAAACAGTGGTTCTAAATGGATTCGCGTGAAGCCACCCAAATGCAGACTAATGCCAAACATTTTCCAATCGGTCGCTCAAAAAACTGGTGTTGAACTGGTTTGTATACAGCCACTGAAAAAACCAAGTGTTGAAGTTCTCGACAACATTTCACTTGAAGCCAGTCAGATGGATGCCATCGGAAAAAATGAAGTCAAGTCCCCGAAAAGCTGCTTTTCAAATTGGAGCTTGCATGCACCATGCACCATTAAACTGGGGTGTGAGAGATCGAAACAAACCATGGAAATCGTAAGAAACCATAGAAACCATGGAGGCCATGCAAGCCATAGAAACCCTGCAGAGGCGATGGCCTGCCAAGCGCAGCTGCGGCAGAGGTACCCCGGGCAACGGGTTCCGCAGCTTGCGAAGTGGTCCACCGGTTGGGACTCGCACAGCTCGCATGCCATGGCAGCGCTGGACATGGCTGTAGCTCAGCAACACGATGAAAGTTCCGCGCAGTTCGGTAGATGCCAACTGCAAGCAGCTTTTCAGTTTTTCCTTCCAGAACAAGAAGTCGAAAATCTCAAGCTAGGAATTCCAAAATGGTTTCCCATAAAGCCACCGAGACGCATACCCAAGCCAAAAATTTTGAAGCCAAGAGCCTCTTGAAAACTATATTCGACCAGTTTCAATCTGAGAGTGTGTCTCCTGGCTCCGCGTTCTTCAAAAACCTTCGCGGTAGTGCTTGAAAGACATAGGTTGGACTGTAGCACAGTCTGGTTGGCATGGAAGATGGTGGCGACGAGTCGGTGGCGCGATCGGGCATTCTGTCCCTCTAAATCAGTGCCTTGCGGCGGGATCTGCTGTATGTAGGTGGGTGTCGGTGATGCTTGTGATCATTTGCTGCCTTGGTCGTGGCGAAAACCTGTGTGGGGTTTCGGGAGAAGCATTTGGCCTCAGGAATGCAGCAGCTTTGGGGAAATCTGCTCCGAAGACTCAATCTGAGAAGGCTACAGGCGAGTGCTGGGTTGGTGATGCATGGCATCTGGAATTTCGGAGGCTGGGCTGCAGATGTTGGCATTGGCGTCCATTTTGGGTGTCCACTTGGAATTTCAGCTGTGTTTGGCCTGACGTTGGAGAAGGTTGCCTAGCAGTGGCCAATGGAAAAGGACAGTTGGAAGATTGCAAAGGTAGAAGATTGCGCAAAGTTGGAAGATCACAAAGTTGGAAGATTGAGTCGTCTATGTGTTTGGGGTGCGGGAAATTTGGATGCAAGGCTTCCAACTTTATCCAACTTTCACTGTGTAAACTGTCTCGGCGTTTAAAGCTTTTAGCCTCAGGGTTCTAGGCCTCAGGTCCGGGTTGCTGAGTTCCTGGGCCCAGGACAGGTTAACTCGTATAGGGATGATCTGCAAGGCTATATTTGTGAATTCAGGGTCTCAGCCCCTCTGCCGCCATTCACGACCGGGGCGGTGCCCGTTACCAGTGCGGTGGAAACCGTGGCGTAGGCCTCACACCGTTTCAGGTGCCGTCTAACCCCGATTAAAGCTCGCTTTGAGCATTTGTTTTACCCTGGTGATTCCGTGCTGGGTCTCCGGGAGGAGCTCGGGAGAGTTCGCCCGCCAGCGCCGGAGCTGCATCAGCCCTTCCGCCACGAGGCCAGAAAAAAAACTGTCAAGACAAATCCAACTCAATCGGACCTGCTGTTTTCTGCCCGGCCGGGGGTCGTTCGCGCGCGCCGGGTTTGCTGTGCGCACCCCAGAAATCATCCGGAGCCCCTAAAGGGCTTGAGCCAGGGTCAGGGCCAGACCCAGCCAGCCAAAAGGTAAGACTGGGCGATCCACGCTCCCAGGCCCGGGCCGCTCTGCCCGAGCCTGCATGGTCGCCTACCCACATGAGGAGAGGGTTTAGGGTTTAAGGTTTAGGGTTTGGGTTTACCGTCATTTTTTAGGGTTCGGGGTTCAACAAATACTGCCGGGGAGCGATAGCAGCGAATGAAGTCCTGCTTTCAGCGGAAGCAACCAAACTTGGTCTTCATTTTGCTGATTCGTAACCGAAAACCATGCTTGCTCCTGCCTTTATTTTTCCAGCCCCACCAAAGGCTCAATGAGCCAAGAACCTTACATAGACTATATACACGCTAAACCCCTAACACCCCAAACCCCAAACCTACTGTTTGGGCCCGAAAATCTCAACCACGGGTCCTAGCCCTTTGAATCCAGCAGCCCATGAACTCCCGAGGCCCCAGACTGAAACCCCGGAAGTTCTAAACTACCCATCGGCCCCTAAGAAGTTCCGTTTTGGGATTACCTTATAGGATTCTAAACATAAACCACAAAAAGGAACTACTTAGGGGGCTATGGGTAGCCCGCCAAAAAAAGGCAACTAAGAACCCTTTTCCCTAAGCCCCTCACCCTAAATCCATCGGCCCTACATGCTCTTTCTTCCACCCTACCTATAGTCTCCATTGTAGTTCCTTTTTTCGATTTAACCAAATCTATATAGAGGATCCTAAAAGGTAACCCCAAAAAGGAACTACAATGGAGACTATAGGTAAACCCTAACTCCATACGGAAGCCTGAGGTCTTAGAGGGGGTTTAAGAATGCGATGAGGATAGGTGAGAAGCCTGAGGAGTGGTCTTCTTTCTGCTTCAGGCTGCCGCTTCAAACCCAAAGCCCGAGATAGATAGATAGATAGATAGATAGTTAGTGAGATAGATAGATGGATAAAAAGACAGA